AAATTTTCGACATTTGGAATTTTTATAAGTGAATATTGAAATTTTCGTTTAGTCTTGTTAAAAATGGATAATTCAATGGTTTTGGGACGTGTTCCCAAGCCCGTATTTAACGAGGAATCTCTCAACGTTTGTTCAACAAAGTCTCATTGGAACTTCCGGTTGTTGAGGCTTAAAAATGGGGGAGAGATGTACACGAATGTCTGGACGGGGAACCAGAGGGAGAGAACCTTCTGGGTATATATACATGCCTTTATGTGCCTTCCATGACTATATGCTAAGCCTCAACTGTGCTATACACTGTAATGAACGGAGTGTACATAATACCATTCAATGATGAATTCCGTGTCTTTGAACTCCGTTAAAAAAAAATTCAAGTCCCAAAAATAAAACAGAACATTTCGTCAATAAATTGCATCATGAAATTAAAAAGAGTTCATTGAAATTCAGAAACTCGTCTATAAGCAATAAATAAATTTAACAACAATATTAAAAGAAACCTAATGATTGTTTTTACATTAAACCAATTATTGATAAAAATTAATTAACCGAATTATTGGGTAATGCAAATTGCTATGAAGAATATATTAATCGTGTTGAGGAAAACTCATGAAGTTCTCAGAGATCTAGACGTAATTGAATTCTCATGTTTATATAATTAATTGAGATATTTAATGACTAGCAGTGGCTTGCGTAATGCCACATCGAGCTAAACTGGATGAAGATGAATGTTCATTGACAATATGCACTGACAGTTAGGAAAAGTTCTCGTTAGTGTACCTTAAGAGTGAACACTGATTTGTTGCAGAGAAAGAGTCATGTCTGAACAATGAAAGAGAGTTTGTGAGAGACAAGAGATGAAAATGCACGACAATCTCGTGTCAAGGCAAAACTCGCATATCATTAAAAGATGAAAAATAAAAAAAAAAAAATCTAATCAGCGTAATGCACGGTTTTCAAGTTAAAGAGCAGTGAATTAGGCATGTGCACCGAGTAATGAATTGATGGTGAATGTGTCTATTGGGGAAATAAACGATGTGTTTGAAAAGAGGTCTCTGACTTGGCGCCGATGAACTCTCGCACACATAACGTTTTTCTATTTTTGAAACTACCGTGACATTCCACGACTAGAAATAAATAGAATGGAGGGTTGCACCAACGTGGTTGGTCTTCGATGCCTACCAGCTGATAATAACTATTTATTAATCAATTAATTTAATGTGCACCCTTGAAGCGACACGTCGAGACGAAAGCCATCTCTTGGAGTGATGCCAGTGGTATAGATTTTTTTTTTTTATTCTTTTTCACTTTTACCCATTCATGAAGACGAGTTGCTATATTTGGGTCAGGAAACATCGCGTGTAATTGACATTACATTGTTTTGTGATATGACTTAACACCTTTGCCAGGTGATTTCATAAGGTCGCGTGTTACTGAAATATCACGATAGTCTCAGTGATTTACGTCTGTCACACGCGAGTTTTAAAGTCCATCGCGAAAACTCAAGCTCAAGTCGAGTTGATGTGTATAAATCATTGCAATTGCAATTGCCAGATGCAGTTATTCGTCTCCGATGGAAAAAAAATTCACTCTTCCGATTGTTATTCCCCCCTGAGACCTAATTACCGACATGTCCTACGTCATGAGCTTTCCCTTCATCCTAAAATTAAATTTTTCCATACACTTTTGAGACCGTAATGAGTACCCCCGCACCACCGAATTATCACATCAAAATCTAGGGGATTCTGGGGATTCTCGCGAAAAAAAATTACTACATCTCGAGAAGACTGGGCCTGAATGCCAATGGGCATAGAGATAATGAGAAGCATCTCTGGAATTTACGAATGCAGAGAAGATACATCTGTCATAATTAACGAGCAAGCGATACCCAATAAAACCAACAATTATCACTCTGTGTGTAAATCCCCGGTATAATTCTGCGAGAAAATGAGTGTATTAATACCATAAAATAGCCACTTGCATAAATAAACGTTTCGCACGGTGTGAAAATATTTGACATTTAGACACCTCTAATATTCAGCTGTTGAATACTCACCGGTAAATGATCGATTACCGTAATTGCCCTGGCAATGCCCTACGGTACACTGCAAATTAGTTGTACCGTGAATAATTTCATCGTTTGTATCTCGTTAATAAACAGGTGCAACAAGCAAACTTTCCTCTCAGCTTAAGTTTATGTATCACTGGCCAGACGCTACTGTCAATCAGTTCCAATTACAACATAGTAGTCATGAACGACATCGTTCTTCTGTGCTATTCCATTTATTCAAGCACAAGCTAATTCTCCATTTTGCTGAATTTTCACGCCAAATTTTGGGTATAAATAGAAATTCAGGAAAGTTCATTAGCCAAAAGTTGATGCTTTATTTAGCTGGGAATGTACCCACACGAGATCAACCGATTAAATTAATTATGGGATGTGATTAAATGAGAAAACATCATCAAACATTAAGTTCACCATAAAAATACTAAAAAATATCGTTTAAATAACAACAATTGAAAAATTTAATGACTTTCTTTAACTTGCAATGGAAATCTTAGAATTTTCTTAACTCATTAATTTGCGGGGAGTAATTGAAGTGGAATTTAGATTTTTAGTGTCGATTCCTTGAAGTCTGGGATTTGGTGTGAAAATTTGGTGATGTTTTTGGAAAATTTTTTGAAACATTTGGGCAGATTATCAAAATCCAGCCAGGGAATTTCTTTTGAGACACGAGAGGTTATCTGACGCTTGGAATTCGCTAATTGTCGGCGGCTATATTTGAAACTCCCGCCTCCTTGGCGTGTTTTTGGCCGTCTACACATTGCAAAAACGGAAAGGCACCAAACGAGACTTCCTAAAGTAAATTCATGCAAAATTCAGCTTTCTATCTCAACTGGTGTGTCGTGTCAGGCATAAAAACAGTGAATGGTGCGTCTCTTTGTGAGCAGAATCGCGTGATTTGCAGAGCAACATTAAAAATTCAATTATTAATTTGTTAATTCTTTCCGCGTACCGATTGAATGCCATTCCATCCGGCATTTATCGATGATAAACGGAGACATCACCGTTTTTCGGATTAAATTTCGTCTCAAAATCTCTGACTAATTCTTAATTCAGGCATGGAGATACGCCAATTGTGCTAGGCGCGCGCTCAAACTCATTTCCGGTCATTATCTCGTGTTTCCTCGGGTACTCTCACTTTGTCAATTTTTTGTGCAGCTCTTACGGAGATCTATTATAATTACTCTCAGCGCGTGGAGAGATGGCGGAATTACCCCGGGAATCTGGTAATTACGCGAGAAATTTTTCGGGGAAATTTTTACGGAAATATTTGCAAATAAATGAAATAATTTTGAAAGTGCGTAAAGTGTCAGAAATCGACTGGTGAAAATTCATTAAAACGCGTTAATGAACACGTCAATTGATTTAAATTAATTGAATAGATCTTTTGAATAAAATAATTAATTTCACGTGATTTTAACCACAAAAATTTGGTAGTTCTCGAAATAAAAGCAGAGAGTAATTTTCTAATGAACTTGAAAAATTCCACATGAAATTTCGAAATTTATGAAAAAAAATCGTAAAGGTGTAGTATGAAGACATAAACGCATGAGAATGAAATTTCTCGTGCGTGCATTATCCATTAGCAAATGAAAATGGTAAAACCGGACACTAATGAAAAATAATAATTACGAGTGTTCATTATCGACAAGGTATGTACTTAAGTGTGACAGAAACGGCCTTCCTTCCAGCCTCTATAAACTGTTTGGTGGATTGTACCTCTGTGCCACGATTGGTAACGGTAATTTGCGAAACGCCGGGATAATTGGATTGCGTAAGAAGATCATAATCTCTGACTGCATTAAATGGTGAAAGACTAAGTTCTGTATGTGTCGCATTTGAAAGAAGATTGGTACTGTATACACAAGGTACATGCAATATATCGTGGGATATTATTAATATGACTGGCTTGCCTTGGCTTGCCGTATCAATTGCTCATGATAATCGATGAATACTCATACAAATGCCCAATGAATCGGAGATCAAAATCGAGGGACGAAAATTTCAATTTCAATTGAGACAGATTGGCTATTGATGCTTAGCTATTGACTACCTAATAAGGACACGAGATACTGTGACACCGTGTACACAATACGAATTAAAATCAAAAGGTAATGATGAAATAAAAAAAAGACCAATCCAGCGACACTGAATCCTCGCCCACACGCTTTTCCACTTCACGTCGTGCAATACCGATACGTAAAACCGAGGTCGACATTTACAACACGTCCTAAATGATTCCTTTACATTAACAGCAATCGACTCAAAATCGAAATCATTACGCACTCGCAGGAGAATTAAGAAGAATTAAATATTCGTCAATAGTTAATCCATTCAGGGGAACGCTGGTACGTTCAGTAAAATTACCATTCGGTAATGGTTACTCAATCATTAATTAATCCAAGTGGATCGAAAAGGTTGAGCTCAATGCATTAGGTAACATCAACCGAATTCCTCTATGAGTGTGTCATTTGTGTATTCCAGAGGTGATGCCTCACCAGATAATATTGCACGAGTATCAGTTCCTGTCACAGGAATTTGCTGATACCCGAGGAATTAGCATGACCGGAAAAGGAAGAGGACAGTGTGCTCGTGTGAGTGAATAAAAAAGAGGACAAGGAGGAAGCCAAGTTATTTGAAATGTAAGAATTATGTGAGATATTTGGGTCGTCATGCGGTAGAATCTGCAATACTGCCAATTCGTCTTCCACCTGACCAACAGAGAGCCACAGTGTGACGTCGTCGGGGCGTCGCGGCGCCAGTCTTGTGGTATTTCGTAGCTCGAGGTAGTTAACACTGTCCTCATTAAACCCACACGACAAATAAAATGAGCATGGATAATGCTGCGTTAAAGATTTTCTAAGCGCTCGCCATTGGTGATTTTTTGAATGCCCAACCCGTGATATTGAATTACCAATGGTGAATGTGGAAAGCTTACCTTGATGTCGAGATGTGCCACGTTGAAGGAGTGAAGGAAGGCGATACCATCGAGAATCTGTCGAAGAAGCCTGACGACTTGATGCTCCTCTGGCACTTCGTCCCTGTCAAGTACCATCTGTAGTTCACCACCTGGAGCACTGGAAAATTCATAGCATCATGCATTTGCGAGTGTCCAATACTATTTCCTCTCGTTCAATTCAACGAAAGAATGCAGATGATAATAATGATTGAGTACTCACAGCTCTAGAACAAGCACCATCTCGGTATTTGTCTCAAATACTTGATGAAGCGAAACGAGTTGTGGACAGTGTGCCGCGGCATCCAGCACCGCGACTTCATGAAGAGCTTCAGCCTTCAGCTCCTGTGCACGTCGTCTCTTCCTGAGGAACTTGGCTGCCCACTGTCTACCACTTGATCTCTCCCTGCATCGTCTCACTGTAGCGTACTTTCCTCTGAAAGATAAACAAGAAGATCTCGATGTTAATACATCATCATTTGGTGAGTGGTAAACGAGAGATCATTACAAGCGCATCGATCTTCCGCAGTCATCGCAAGTAACCCAATAAAGGAACGGTTAAAAAATTTTAACGCGACAAAACAGTCCGGCCATAAATCCTTATCGGTGGTAAAATCGATTGACAGAAGGGACTCAATGCTGGGACAATGAATTCGATTTCAATCCTCGACAGATGGTATGAGCTGTGAAGAATGATCACACACGCATGATCGGGGAGAATGTGCTCTCGTGACTCTATCTCATTCTCCAATGAAAATACGCGTTAAGGGGTCAATTAACTCTATCAACTATTTTTAAATCTGTATTTGCCCCGGAGTTGATTGCTGAATCCTTCTCCTGCTGCATGATGATGATGAGTACATGGTAGTATTATGAGAAATAATCGTCGTTCTCTCATTTTCTCAGGAAAGGTCAATCGATACGCGATATTAAGAGGGTCATCGCTGGCCACTAAAGTAAGATTAATATCGACTTCGGTAAATATCCAGCATAACTCTTTATATAGCCGATGGGCATCATGTTGATACACCTACTGCACTCTGGGATCAACGATGCGGATGGGAAGTTTACCGGGTGCACCTTCCAACGCTTTGAGAAATCGCGTCGTGGCCTGCTGCCTCGGATTTCACCACGGAAATGCAAACCTACGCTTATGACTATCCACCACTCTGCACGAGTTCGTGAATTCCGTATTCGTATTTTTATAAGTTCTACGTGTAAACTTATCGTCGACATTCCGTGATTTTTATTTGGACGTTGGAAGAGTCATTGTCAGACTGGGTAAATCGATTTGACATTGAATCCGTGGGATCCTCATCAAAAAGTCATAATGTACAAATTGTACTGGATAATTGGCTGAATTTCCCAGAAAATTGTTTCTCTTTCTTCAATCCAGATCCAAATATTTAATAATTATATTATATTGAGAAAGCTTAATCTATATTCAGACGAATGATATACATCTTTCATATGCATATGACTTTTTAGAAATTAAATATATATTAATCCAATTTTTTCTAGTCATTCAATTCAAAATCTCTAACAATATATTTCATATAATTATTATTTGAGGATAGTACATAATTAATATATTGTTATAGATGTGGGGTTTGAATTTGAAAGATGATAAATTTAAAATGGAGGCAAATAACTTTTGCTACTTGAGGCAGTGGTTACTGGTTAGGTGGGGTTCCTTGAACCAGAGTGAAGATTCATTCTGCCGACGTGGACAGTAGCATCAACACAAGTCTAGAAAACGTGACCGTCCATGAGAGACTCTTTACGAAGGACGAATGGTAGTAATGGATGTTGTAATTTTATGGAAGCCTTCGCTTTTACCCTAGGAGTGATCATCAGCTCGCTGGTGGTGTTCCTAGTATGTGCAGTCATATTGGTGGCACAAGGAAGCAATGACTGAAGAAAAAGATGAGAGGGGGAGGGCTGTAAAAATTCCTCTGCTCCGGTTATCTTACTTCCGTGATAACATGGAATTAGTCGGTTAGTCAGATGATTTCTTTGGGATCCTGTCAAGTTCATCTTAATATTTTATCAAATTTCGAATTTTCTTTTCTTTCTTTTCTTCAACTGATCGGAAAATTTTTGTTTGCATATGCAGTCATTTAACTGACTCGATGAGTAAACAAGTAATCCAATAAAATTGAATTCAATGTCACTGGAGTGCATCGCCCATCTCGTGAATGATTTCTTTGTCCCCTAATTGCTCCAGGTGGCTGGACGATAAGGCTATTAGCCCTGAGAATCGATGAAGCAAGAAGCCGGGTACCTTTGAAAATACTGAAAGAACGAAAAAGAAAGAGAAAGAAAGAAAAAGAAACAACAATTGATTCATCTTCTGGGAAGGTGTAGGCAAGTTGAAATGGTACTATTGGTGCACACTGTGTGCAGTGAAACGACTTGGCAATTTAACGCACCAGGAGTCCGCTGTTGTTTCAGCAACAGTTGTCGACCGATCGTCTGTTATACTGTAAGCCACCAACTGATGAGATAAAGTCAACGACGTTGTGCCTTTGTTCTTCCAACGACGGGTCATCCAACGATGAGAAAAAGAGAACGGTGAATTCGTTTGACTGGCACAATCATTTCAAAGAGCTAAAAATACAACTGATACAAAAATAATACCGGATCTGGCCCTTCTGGACTCAACACGTACCAATGGCCACGACCCACATCCTTTCCAATTGCATGGTAATTTTGTAATGACGCACAACAAAATAAAAATAATATCCAACCCGATGCGTGCTGAGGCTTTCTGACAAAATTCTGTGAGCTGTTACTTGAGCAACCTCTGTGGTTGTACTTTCCAAACCAAATGATGAACCATTGATTCCAAGTTGGATAACAATACGAGTATATTTTCTTAGGACAGGTAAATAAGCCAGAAATTCCTGGTGTGAACCCCATCATGAGGAAGCAAACTCGTGAGGTGGCAAGTGACCTCCTACAGTATCCAGTGACTCAGGAAGTGCAAACAGAACGAAAAAGGTGTCAATGCACTCCTGAGAATGTATAATTTGAAAAAAAAAAAAAAGAAATTGAAGATGTGAGAGAATAAATGATTCTATGTTGAGGAATACCAATATTCTTCTTATATTTTTTTTTCCTCAAACTCAAACTATTCTGCGGTAGCTCCTAGAGTTACGATTAGATACAAAAGCAAGGAGAGGGTGTACCACACTAGGCACTTTGCCCATCATAAATACATCACAACATTCAAAAGAAGCCCCAGTCTTCCGGGTATATCTCAACGGGCCGTCCTGATCGCTTGCTTTTATGATGCATATAATACAGTATAAGAATCTGCTGCTGTAGAAAGCCAACACTTTCACCTGACGCCTCTCCTGCAGGATGTATTCAAGAAAGGTGTATAACAGTACACCGTAATGTAGATTTTTCCGAGTATCTTTATTCACCGAGTGATACCCCATTTTTATCATGCATGTGTACCCCGGACGCGGAGTTATTCGATCGGCAAAAAATAATCGATTGTTCGTAATCAATTCATCAGACAACATCAATTACGAGTAAAAGCCACAAATCAGCTGAAATCAGTGATTCCGGGTGTAGATCGTGTGCTTATCACACGCGATATTTAACGACCCCGCGGGTGATTAATACACCTTATGTTGACCGATAATTTTCTGAAAGCTTTGAATTTTCATGGGAATTTTCACGATGAAAATCACTCCGAATGGCTGTTGAATGCTCGTTTTTCGTCCATCTGCTCCACCTCCCTCGCCGGACAGTCGGCAAAGATTAATTTAATTCAGGATTCATGCCGTCGAGATAGATTACGTGTGTGAGTTTAAATGAGACAAGTTGTGTCTCCAGCACTGTTTTCCCACGAATCGTGCTAAAGGGGAAGCACTTGGTGTACATCGGCGCTATCACCAAGAATGGACGGTTGATATCTAACCTTCCACCACGTGCTGAAGGTGGTTAGCCAACGAGGGAAGGACCCATGATCAACCTTCCGGTTCGTCGAACAGCAAAGACCATTAAAACAAGCTCTTGTGGACTAGCCATTGGATCAATGACCCTCTCCTCTTTGCTACATGCCGACTATGCACCAGGAAATTGTCTCTCGTGCTTAAACGCACTCCGGATCGTGCCTTGTAATTCTTCTTCTTATTTATTTTCAGGTCAAACTTTAACATTCCGTACTGTTCGGTTAACGTTGACATTCACGAATTAAATGGCTAAATATCTACACCTTGGGTGGCTCTTTGTTGGCTCTTTGTTCACCGTAACTTCAATGTTCAGAGAGCATCGGGGATGACCCCGTCTATCTCTCGGTCATCAACTTGACTTCCTTCAGTCACACGCACCTTGCTCGAGTTAATGCGACAAAACTAACTGTTTTATCATTAGAAAACGTCACTCTCAACATCCATTAGTCTGTGTATACAGGATGAGGTTTGTTGAACATGTTTTATCAAATTGTTTCAAGCATTTCCTGCGTGTCATTCTTTGTCGATTTTCTCTTCATTATTTGGCACGTTCCAGGTTCAAATCAGGATCCTTAGAAATTTATTAAAAATTCCCGATGCAAAGTCATACGAATTTTCAATTGAATTTCAATTAAAAACGTCGTTATAAGCAAGAATAATTAAGATGTTGATTAAGATTAAGAGGTTGCGGGTAACAAATACTTGAATGAGCCCTTTTCACAGGGATCTTGCATAATGAATTTGCATTAGTGACCGAGGGGCGTTGGAAAGAATGAAGAATGCCGAAAAAGGCAATGAGGAAACGAGTAAAGCCTTTGGCTTTTGCCACTGGGGTAGACGGATAAATACCCCCGGTCTACGTTAATTCTCTTAATTGCCAATGGTAGGCGCTCGCATAATTAATGGCCGTGGACCGAAAGCGTTGGTCAGTCTGAATTTCCGCGTTGCATACACGCTAAATCCCTCCTCCTTGTAATGAGATAATTAGAAGCCCGTTAGCGGTATGGACCAATCTAGCGTGTGCACGAGAGTCACTCCACCACAAAATGCCTTGGTTTGTAAAGTATGGAAACAAATCTTAGAGGGAATGACAACCGGAAGAAATTCACTCGTCAGTGGTTAAGCCGAATAACAAAAATTTTTTAAATTAATAAAAACACCCGCTAAAACCACAACAATCATTGCGCGAGCACAGAGTAATGAAGAAAAATGGCTATTAATTCCTCGTTAAAGGATTTACGTAGAAAAAAAATCTAAAAATCCAATGACAATTGCCATTCTGATTTCATTCAATTTAATTATTTTATTTGGGAGGGGGTGAGTGGTGGTAAGGGGTGTAATAAAATTTTTTTTCAAATTCACGTAATGAAATTCTCAAACGGTTATTCCAACTCTGTACAACACCGGCATTTATCGCGTTCCAGACACCATTCTCACGTATGTGACGTCCTTGAACTCTAACACGTCT